TTAAAAAATAACTAACTAACATAACATCAAACCCTTTTATTCCCCAGGGCTTATGCAGAGGTGCACATTGTGGCACTTAATGCCACTGTACAATACCTCTATAACACCTACTTATCACTATTTATGTTATGAGTCCCATGTAATAGGAGGTGAGCCTATTGCCATATACCGGGCACACTTCCTGACTCCATGTTACTACTGAAATTTTTAGCAAAACTTGGCCCGAATGTTCTGGGAATAGAACCCGAGACTCCTTGCCTGGCAGTTACACTTGCGACCACTCGGCCAACGAGGCAATCGTTAAAAAAACATGAGATACAAAAAAAGCACTCAGAACCTAAAGAATTCCGTAATAAAACCAGTTACAAATATCAGAAAACATGTATATTAAGTTCTATCCACTGAGTCTTACATTCCATTTTGTCCTAAGGGAAGGTAGGTTCTAGAGTACACAAGGCAGCACATAAAGCTACATAAACCAGTATAAACTGACCGTTAAACGTCCAGAAAGTTCATACAAAGCGAGACCATGATACAGTGGTCTTGTTTAACTTGATGTGTAGTCGTGTGTAGATAATGCAACATGACACGTTGGTATACAATTGCTCTCTTAGGTTGTGTTTGCTAGTAACTAAAGCTAGACTTTGCAGTCACCAGTCCTTAGAGACTGAGAGAACGTCAGTGCCTGTTAGTGCAACACCTTTTCTAATGCCTTGTTTACATTACGCTAGTACTTTAGTCGCACATCACATTAACACATCAACCGTTTATAAATATCCACTGCTAACCAAAGGCCTCTTCTCGCACGAAGAAGGTTTAAGCATTAATCATCAGTCACCACGCTTGCTTAATAAAGGTTGGCAATTTCAAACTTATAATTAAAAGTTATAAGCCCAGCAGCTGTAGCCAAATGCCACTTAGCGCTTGTCTACATGTAGACTAGAAAACCAAATTATAATTATGGAATTGACGTAAATTTTTAAAACTTGTCGGTGTCATCCCCATACATTTTGATTTCTACTCTCTCTGTAAACAAGCGCTAAAGTGGCGTTTGGCTAAAGGCATAGGTTTCCACACAATAAATACCTATTCTTAAATGTTTGTCAGTAGAATTGACTCGGAAAATGTTACATTAGTGCATGTTATTGGTAGGTTTCGAGCCCGCACCCTTGTGTATGAGAAAGGGGCGTCTTAATCTCCACTATGGCATTCACTGTAGTCGAGTAGCGAGTATTTAGTAGCTCTCGCAAGCTTCGATTTTGGAACAGAAGCGAGAGACAGCTACTCTAACTAACTACTCGACTAAAATACTAGCGTGGTGTGAACAAGGCATAAGAGCTTTTAACTTATTTAATGCAGTACTCAAATAAATGTAATTTTAGTGAACATTGCGAGTTATTTATAGCTGTGCTTTAAAATCGTCCGGCGTTTAATTGCGTTCGCAGAGATTTTAGATTGTCTGTAGACTCTAGAGAGTTACATAATAATAGCTAAATTAACTAAAAATCGCGGGTTACTCACGTAAATATACTGAGAAAAGTATATTCATGTAAGTAGACTGCGCGACATCGCCGCGACCGCGCCCGCTGCTCATGAGGAAGAACCCCTCTGTGGTTCGAAACTAATAGAAATTTTCTCAGTATATTCACGTGAGTCCCGCGTTTTTTAGTTTGTTGCATTTTGTTTAATAGTTTTCGTTTCTATTAATGTTACGATGTAAGTTCGTGTCTTATTGTACCAGCTAATGCTGATGGTTGATTTATTACTTAGTCTTATAAATAAATACAGATATAACTGCCTTGTTGGCCGGGTAAGGGCTCCTCGAGTTCATTTTTCGCGACGGGCAAAGTATTACTGATGTTTTTTTAAATGTTTTGTATTAGTACTTACAGTGATTGGAATTGTGCCCGGTAAATGGCAATAGGCTCACCCCCTATTACATGGTACTCATAACATAAATAGTGAAAAGTGGGTATTATATTGTACAGTGGTATTAAGTGCCGTAGTGTGCACCTCTGCCTATATCTTCGAGGATAAAAGAAGTGATGTTATGTAATGTGTTCATAACAATTACATAATTATGACAGGTAATTACGTTTTTTTTATGTCAAGGTTGGCAAATTAAGATGTCATAGAAGTCTGACACACATAGCGTACAATTATTTATGATAGACGACTTGTTTTAGCTGTTTGTACCTATCTAATATTCATGTGTCTAAAATGCAGTAAATGGTTTTTTATGGCATAAGCCGGTAAATGAGCAGACGGATCACCTGATGGTAAGCAATCGGCGTCGCCCATGGATACCTGGAACACCAGAGGCGTTAAAAGTGCGTTACCGGCCTTTTGGGGATTAGGAATTTGAGGATCGTTCCGAATTCAGGGATTGGGGAGATTTAGGAAGGGGAGGGTAATTGGGCCTCCGGTAACCTCACTCACATGACGAAACTTAACGCAAGCGTTGCTTCACGTCGGTTTTCTGTGAGGCCCCGTGGTATCACACCGGTCGAGCCGGCCCATTCGTACCGAAGCATGGCTCTCCCACAAATATTAGACGATTTAAAAAAATTACAATTACATATACACCATATACATATTGTGTAAAATCGACTACTACATTTTACTTACTAGCACAACAACCAGCCAGTATAACCACACTATCGAATTCCAAATTTAAATTCAAATTGTCAATTCCATTTTGAACACACAAACACGCAGCCTTCCCCACGTGCGAGCGTGGTTACCGTAATAAGCCCGATGAGTGGCAATTAGCCTAAAGCATTAGGCGTTAATTACAACTGCTGAGCCGTTGAGAGCCAGCAAGAGTACTGGCCTTCTAGTTGTAATTATGACAGAAATGAATTTAGCTGTAAAATGACCCTTTTTGCTGACAGTTTTAGGTTAGTTTTGCGGTGGATTTCTGTGGTGTTTCTTAAGAAGGACATCTTTAAGTTTACGTAATTGACATCAAATCTGTTTTTTAAAATTGTTGGCAAAGGTATTTTCCATGATACATTGACTTAGCACTGGCTAATTCAAGCAGCAATTGGGATGATGACAGGGTATGAAAGTTAAAATCATAATTAGTCCGTCAGTTAGGTAATTAAAAAATATTAGACACGTATTTTTTTATTTTGTCGTATAATAAAACAATAGTTATATAAAACGAAACAAAGTTTAGGAGTGGGGGCTGAAACGTAATTTCTATGTATAAAATGTACATAGAAGTGACGTCACACGACATTTCAAATCAATATATCGCCGAAAGTATTCGTTTCTGTAAGAAAATAAAAAATACGTGTCTAATGATTTAAAATAATCTACCAGGCGGACATTAAATAAAAATTAGGCATTTACCCTACTGACGACACTAATTAAAATTTTTGAATTTGGAACCCAATATTGGACTTTCCGATATCCATAGACGACGTCTCAGGGGCTTTGCATTGCAACACTATACAAATGAGGTACGCCACAAAGACTATCGGTAGATTCTATTCCTGCATCCTACCCCAAATGTTACACAATTTTGAACCTTATTTTGTAGCCGACAATGCACTTGTGGCATGACACCAGCTTCCCAAGGGAAATCAGTCGCATGATCAAAATAGGCCTGGGCGGCTCTGACGTCACTCGCATTGTTAGGTCTTAAAATATTGTAGCAGAATTCTGATGCCTTTGTTATGAAAAAAAAAGTTTCTTTATGGACAATGGAGAAAAGAGATTTTATTTGCTTGCCTTGTTTATGGAATTGTTCTTTTTTTGAACATTGTGTTATTGCGTTTTGTTTATTTATTTACCTGTTTTTGTACTCGAGAAAATTGAGGTGTGTTTTTTCCGGTGTCGGGCACAATATTTATTTGTAGTCTAGTGTAAATATTTAAGGATATACGAATAAAGTCTTATACAATTTTGTTATGATATTAAACTTATTCGATAAAACGTTTTACAAATGGTTGCCATATAAAGTCACAAACGAGTAAAAATTATGGGGTTTCAGTATCTACAATAAAATATTAACCGTTCATAAATAAAATCAATTTAAGACAATTAAAAATTAACATACCTACTTTAAACACATTAAATCATCTAATGTTACTTAGATTTAAATTGATCCATATCTTTTTTTAATATAAAAGAAAAAAACTTTCTAACGCAGACATTTTTAAATATTATTTTCATTTCAAACTTTAAAAATAAAAAGCCCATTCATATTTCAAACAGTCATTCCATTTAATGTTCAATGTTTAAATTCAAATTTAGTGTTCGAATCAAAGATGGCGGCAAATGTGGAGATAACGTTTAAGCTTTATAGGTTTGGAACTCATAGTGAGGTTCAATGAGTCGTAGGATTGAATTTCAGTGGTCTGAACTATTCGGTCTGATTACGGATAATTTTGGAACTATGATCCCTGGAATGATTTGGTTGGTGTTGTGATCGTTTGGTGGTTTGTCTGTTTTAAGCAAAATATTATTTATATGTCATTAAATATTACTATAGGTTCAAATTATGATAAGTGATATTGTGTACTGGTATTCTTAAATAAAAAAAATGATTCATAAATGGATCTCAATTTTGACTGGAAGATGTTTATCAATTACAACCTTTAATTAACAAGACGATAAAGTGCAAAATCCTTCATTCGCACTAAAACATAATAAGTAAAGCGCAACAAAGAATTTGTAGTTGATACGTTGCAACTTCGACCTTATAAGTTGGAGACTTCTTAACAAGTTGCAACTTGTTAGGAGTTGCCAAGGTTCTTTCTCGATCAGCCGAGCTATTTACCTCTGCGTACGGAATCCTACAATCTTTAAAGCTATGACTTTGCAAGTATGCCAAAGACTTTAAGTTGTTTTTGTAACATCTTCTAGTGAAGTTTGTTTTAGCGTCTTCTAGTGCACAGTTTGAAAAATTCTCCAGTTGCTATGTCAATAAAAAGTCTGCGGTTCCGAAAACCAACCCGAATATAGATAATAGGAGTAGTATTTCCTCATATTTTTTTTTTATTTTATATAAACCGTTGGGCCATTAGGATTTTCTCCTGTGTCGTGGGTGCGTTTACAAACATACAAGTTCACATACACAATGACACCCAGACCCGAAACAACAATTTGTGGATCACAGAAAGTGTTATCATAAGAAAAGAAAAGTATAAGAAAAAAATTATTGTATTTTCTTCTTTTGGAAGTAACTGCGCCTATTCTTATCCACCAATTCCTATGCAAAAGAAACGGCAGACGCTTTCTCAAAAAAAACTATACCATCAAAAATAATTGCTCCTTTGTCACTCGGCGTTCTCCACCAAAATCCAGCATTACAGTTTAATTATATTTCCAAGGATTTAGCGAAGGAAGTCGAAAAAAAGAGATACAAAGTAATAAAGGCCTTATCTCGACCTCGTAAGTCGTAATTTACGACTTTTAAAGTCTTCTATGGCAGTGACTGTGGCTTTTATGATCGTCGCGGGCGAACCGTCTGCGTCTTGTCTTTACATCTTAATTTATAATCAGCCATCTTTAATACTAACGTATATTGGATGAGAAAATGAACCGATAATCATGTCTTTCTTTGAGGGGGGAAAATCATCCCTTCATCATCAATGACCACTCCCGCCCGGGTGACGCAAAAAGGAGTGTTAGACTCTTACTGCACTGAAAATGACCCCGTTCCTACTCTTGCACTCGTCCCGACAAGCCTTTAAATCCTCTGCGGTTCCATATCGGCATCAGCCCTATTGGGTTCCATCTGTGGAGGTCTGATGGCTATTTGAGGCACGCGCGGAACGCGACGAGCCGTCCGCTCTGGATAATCATGTTTTGATTTTTATTGGGTGATGTGTGTTGGTTTATTATGTATGTTAACTGACGGCGTGATATAATTTTATCATATTAGCGGGAATATGAGTTTAGGACAAGAATAGCTTTTTGGGTTTTTGCAAGTTATAGGTTTCAAGACCCTTTTTACAACTAGACTAATAAAACTGTCGCGGAGAACCTAACGGGTAACCGGGGCTCCGGCTCGACGTGCAGGAGAAGGAACGGGGTGGTTTTTAGTCAGTAAGAGTCTGACACTCCCTTCCGCCTCACCCAGGCGGCAGCAGTCATTCGATGATTTTCCCCCCTTAAAAAAAAAAGACTAATAAAACTATCTGGTCTCTTTAATTTAATGTTTTTTAAACATTCTAGACAAGCAGATGTTACACGAATCCATAAATGCAGTGCAATTTCCATTTTAAATTCACATATAGAAATAATATCTAACAGAACTTAGTAGATTAGTACCATAGTATTATTCAACGTACTTCATTTATTCAAATAAAAAACTTTAATTAAAAACTAACTATTACTTAACAAAAATTAAAACTAAATATTATTAAATTAAATATATATACTATAAACTTAAAATTAATTATAAGAAAAACAAAAGCAACTATTTACTTATAGCATCGAAAAATTCGTCCGCATCGACATCAGTGGGGAAAGTACCCAGAAGGCTGGCAGCATTGCCACGTTGTATGGCAATGCTTAACCTCTGACCGAGGAAAAGACCAGCCCTCTGGTCACGAGGTGTGTCGACCAGGCGTTTCGAAATGTTTTTTGTTTTGTTTTGTTTATATCTAACAGTTGTTCAAAGTTTAAAAATGTGAAGGTAACTTTTATTATCTTTTAAACTATTTTCCATTCATGATGGTGTTCTACATTAAACGTGAACCTATACTCTTTAAAAGTCGCGGAGAACCTAACGGGTTACCGGGGCTCCGGCTCGACGTGCACGAGAAGGAACGGGGTGGTTTTTAGTCAGTAAGAGTCTGACACTCCCTCCCACCTCACCCAGGCGGGAGCAGCAATTCGGTGATTTTCCCCCTTAAAAAAATACTCTCTAAAAGTTTCCAGTCTTATAGCAGACATGCGTTCTGTTTATGGTGTTATATTTTACTAGCTGTTGCTCGCGACTTGGTCCGTGTAACATAACATTTTTTGTTTCAATTTTCCAAAATAAAATTAGCTTATGTTATTCCTTAGTACATCAGCTACTTACCAGTAAAAGTCTTGCAAAATCGGTGCAGCCATTCCAGAGATTATCCAGTACAATCAGACAGATAGACAAACATTTTATTTTAGTATATGAATCCTATTTATATTCATATACATGCAGTAAAAAGCAGCTATTATAATATTAGAAACAGACACTTCCATTTTATTTGTCTGTACAGATTTTTTTTTCGTGAGTGATGTTACTTTGTTTATTTATTTTTTTAATAATTATATACAACTTAAAATTTAAATGACTAAAAACTAAAATATTTAGTTACACCTTAAAAAAATAAAAAATAATAAAAAAAATACAGATATTTTTTTGGATGTATTGTTAAAATATGAACCGATCTAATACTTTTGCTATGATAAACTTGATTAGTATAGTAAAGAGCTTCCTCATTATAATGATCACAAATGGGATCGTTTTGCACAAAGTCCGAATTGTCAGTAGTTAGCATGAGGGGTTAGGTGGCCGGTGTATGGTAATAAGCTTGCTCCCTATTACTTAGGATGCCCTTTTAATATGAAGGGTACTCAGAGAGGTCAACCTCGCTACTGACAAGGGTCACTTTGTTTACACATGTAAACTATTTTCATTAAATCAAACTATTACGGAGGTCAAAATTCTCATTAGTTGCAACGAGTTGTCGTGATGTGGTATGACATTTTGTAAATTAGTAAATATACTATCAGAATCTTTATTTGTTGAAGAACTGTTTTTGAAATAAATACAGCAGTGTTCTTTAATAAACTTGAACCTTTTATATGACCGCCTCTTTTTATAATAACTATTGACATTGAGACATACTAAATTAACTTAAAATCGCTGGTTACTCACGTGAATATACTGAGAAAAGCTCTACTAGTTTCGAACCACATGAGGGTTCATCTTCATGAGCAGCGTGCGCGGTCGCGGCGATGTCGCGTAGCCTACTGAAGTCAGTATATTCACGTGAGTAACCCGCGACTTTTAGATAGTTGACCGCCTCTTATTTAAATATTAATATTCCCATGGGATATAACAAGAATCATACATATTCTACGCGGACGAAGCTGCGGGTAACAGCTAGTAAAATTCATAAAAACTAAAAGAATAAAATGACCTTTTATTGTGTAAAGGTTTCCGTACTAAAATGGCGTTAGTAAGACTATACAAGCTGAGGTTAATTGTTGCAAAGGGTACGCGGGCAACAGGCGACAGAGCGGTGTGTACATAGTCTATCAACCTACTGTTTAATATCAAAGGTTAGTAGGGAAAATGTTAAAGTTTTCCAGTCAATTACTGAATTAGTGAAACAACGCTTGCGTTGTGTTTCGTCATGTGAGTGAGGTTACCGGAGGCCCAATTAGCCCCTTCCTCAATTCCTGAATCCTCAACTATCCTCAAATTCTGAATCCCAAAAGACCGATAACGCACTTGTAACGCCTCTGGTGTTCCAGGTGTCCACGGGTGACGCCGATTGCTTACCATCAGGTGATCCGTCTGCTCGTTTACCGGCTTGTCCCCTAAAAAAAGCTATTGATTAATTTCTATCATTCCAATTATTCCGCATTTTGCAGCGATTCATGTATTCAAGCATTTATTGCGTCCATAACGTACACATACTGGTAGGAAATACAATTTTAGTAACAATCAGTGAAGATAGCCGTTTAGTAGTATAAACGCAACCCCACTGTAGCAACAACAACTTGCAGAATATGAAGGCCAGAAACGGAGATTATTAAGGAAACAACTTGGTATCGATAATACAGAATATTATTTTCTTCCAAAGCACATTTATAACAAAGATACAAACATTACATCTCCTCTCGTCAATAGTCCCGCCAACAGAACGCCGCCATCCGTTCAAAATCCCATTCGTTTTCCCGCCTTTTTCGATCGCCGTCTCGAAATCGTCCAATGACGTTTCGAGAATTCAAGCCGGTTCTATTTTTTTCAAACCCGCGTTCTCGATGTCATCAGTTGACATTTCGAGAATCCAAGTCCGTTTTATTTTTATGTTTGTGTATGGTCAATCACAAAGAAGTTTAGTCTATTACACAATAAAAATACAAAATTAAATAATTAAATTAAATCATAATGTTAATGAACCCTAACAGTAGGTTCAGGTTTATACTCGGACTATGAGAAGGAGTAGAGGTGATCACATACGTAGTCTTTTTATTGTCATAATAAGGCTTTATTCGTCAAATATAAATACGGTAAAAAAACACGTGTTACAAATATCCCATTCACAGAATTTCACCAAATCCGACTTCGCTATTTCATTTTTATACAGATATTATATTATATAGCCATAGAACAGTAATGCAGTAAACTATAGAAAAACAAAAAAGAAAGGCGAAGTCAAGTAACTTCTATTTTATGACACGTTTCATAGGCGCCATCTTAAAAACATAAACCGTCAGAGTATCTTGCTTGAGGCTCTATGACTTACCACAGAGTATATTCGCTTAGAGTATTCAGCCTTATCTGTTTGCGTTGCTCTTTTGTTGATATCAAGTCACTTCGCTTTCTTTTATCAAACTGTACGTCAGCAAAGAAATAAAATATATTTTTCTTATGATTCGTCAAATGTGATGTGTGTGATGTTTTACGTAATAAGCCAGAGTCAAAACTACCATAAATAAGCCTTTGCTTGACAATTTAGTCTTCTAACTAGTAACAATTTGGCACTTTTAATAACTACTAGGAGCTTGGGATATGCTAGTGTAGGCTGCTCACCTACGTTTCATTATTTATCATTTCATTATTCTATACCTTCCTCATATTCATACTTTTTACTATTAGTTAGCTCACCTCCTTTCTTTAGTATTTTCTTCTTCCAATAGAATCTGTCAATACTTTTGTTTTCTTACGTCATAATTTTTCCAATGCAAAAACGTCTTCACATTATGTTATATTTTAATAAAACAGTTTATTTAACATTTTAAATATTCTTTACTTTCCTCCGCATTGGTGGACCCCTAAAGTGGTAACTCCCTAAACTAGGAATTCAGAATATGATATGAAAAGTAGCTTAGACTTCGCTGTTGGTAGTTTTTTTTTATAATATTAATTCTCCATGGACTTTAG